TAGATCTGTATTCGGAATCCACCAACTTATCTCTTCAGGAGAAATATGAGACAGTCTCCTCCTGTAAAGATTTATAGCTTTGGAAACACTAAGAAGCCATTCTATTCTGTCTTGTAAGGTTTCTCTCTGAGTCAGAATGAACTTTATACAATGAGTTTCAGTTTTATAATGATGTTCCTATAAATACTTACTATACAGCCTTACCACAAGAAGATGAAAACAGGTAGGGTAAAATAACTATTTCCAGATTTGGGCCCCAAGACGCCTTTTTGTAATCTGTACTCCTAGTGTTTCAATTTCCATTTCCACTAATAGATGCTGCAGTTAGCATTGTATCTTGGTCTGCCACCTTCTCCTCCCTCCACCCTTAACAGAACTTATCTGTACACCCTGTTCCCTGATTTTGCTGATCACTAACCCTTGTGAGAGAGTTCCTGCCTCCAGTCAAAAATGAAAAATGAAGTTATACACAGGTCATTCAAAACCACACCCTTCAGAGTTAACTCTGTATATGATTTAGTGGAAGAAAACATATCGCATCCTATTACACATATCCTGTGGCTGCAGAAACTGACATCCCTGCTTTTGCCACTCAGCTTCATGTTAAGGAGGTTGGAAATCCCCAGTGACCTCTAACAGCTTAATGGTAGTTTAGGAACAAAAAGTCAAATCAACAGTTCTCAGATGGAGGATCATCAGTAAATAGAAAGTGAATGGAAAGGTTTAGTAAAGGAGATGAAGGAAACTTGATTGTTAGTAGACAAAGGAGAAAAACTTAAAATAAAAAGGAAAGTAAATCTGGACATGGTCAGAAGGGAAAGGACATATTAAGGCACAAACAATAGCTCTCTGATATTGGATGATGTAAAATTTTAAAGAGAACACATTAAGAATTCTCAAGGAATAGAATGTAGCACCAAACCATTGCTGCTGAATCAATTCCCACTCATAGTGACCTATAGGACAGAGGAGAACCACCCCATTGGGTTTCCAAGGATGTCATCTTCATGGGAACACACTGCCATATCTTTGGCCTATTGAGTGGCTAGTGGGTTTGAACAGCCAAACACTCTATTATCAGCCATACACTTAACCACTGCATCACCAGGACTCCTTGGTATGGAATATAGTAAAAGAAAACACATATTTTTGGAGTGTCTCTGGTAGCGTAGTGGTTACGAATTGGGCTGCGAACCTCAAGGCCAGCAGTTCGAAACTACCAGCGGCTCCGCAGGAGAAAGATGAGGCGTTCTGCTCCCGTAAAGATTTACAGCCTCGGAAACCCTGTTCAGGGTCGCTATGGGTCGGAACCGACTCGACGGCACTTAACAACAACAACAATTGTATCAGGAGTCCTGGTGTGGCACTAGGGTTAATGCGCCAAACTGCAAAGCCATTTGAACTGCAAGGTCGGCAGTTCAAGCTCACCAGCTTCTCCTCGAAAACCCTATACAGGGTAGTTATAGGTCAGAATCAACTCAACGGCATTTAACAACAACAACGATTAAATAGTGTGTCAGGAGTCCTGGTGTGGCACTGTAGGATAATGCACTGAACTGTAAGGTCGGTTTGAGTCACAAGGCCAGCAGTTCAAACTCACCAGCCACTACTTGGAAACCTTATACAGGGTTGCTATGAGTCAGAACCAACTCGACAGCAATTAACATTAACATAATGTTAAAGTACTTCATATAGTTTATCAATTTAATTGCTCATCTTTGTTTTGAGCTATTGTTGAATAGGACTTAAGAGTCTGGTTGACTCCATGCATTACAGAATTTAATGCTGTCAATTCCTATGCCATGCCCACGAGCAGTCATGGACTAGACCATTGTGATCCATTATGATTTTCAGAAGCTAATTCCCAGACCTTTCCTCCTAATCTTTCTTAATCTGGAAACTCCTCTAAAACCTAAACAGTATCATAAGCAACATATAAGCCTCCACTACTGGTAGACAAAGGAGCTCTGGTAGCGTAGTGGTTCCGAATCGGGCTGCAAACCGTGAGGTCAGCAGTTCGAAACTACCAGCAGTTCTGCGGGAGAAGGATGGGTGTTTCTGCTCCCGTAAAGATTTACAGCCTTGGAAACCCTGTACAGGGTCGCTATGGGTCGGAACCAACTCCATGGCACGTAACCACCACTGGTAGACAAAGGAGCTCTAGTAGTGTAGTGGTTACAAATTGGGCTGTTAACCTTAAGGTTAGCAGTTCGAAACTACCAGCTGCCCTGCGGGAGAAAGGTGAGGCTTTCTGCTCCCATAAACATTTACAGCCTTGGAAACACTGTTCAGGGTCGGGGTAGTAGCTATGGGTCAGAACCAACTCCACGGCTTAACAACAACAACTGGTAGACAAAGGAGCTCTTATAACGTAGTGGTTACTAGTTGGGCTGCAAACCTCACGGTCAGTAGTTTGAAACTGCCAGCAGTTCCATGGGAGAAAGATAAGGCTTTCTGCTCCTGTAAAGATTTACAGCCTTGGAAACCCTATGCAGCATCACTATGAGTTGGTTCCGACTCCACGACACAGAACCATCACCACCATGGGTAGACAGGTGGAGGCCACGCATTAATTACATTGGCTGGGATTCGAATCCCTGTCTCCTACTCAGAAGGTGAGAACTCCACCACTTCAACCACCACTTCCTTCATAAGAGAAATTTTATTTCTATTTGACATCAAGTTAATATGAAAAAAAAAAAATCAAAGTCAGGCACATAACAAACACTGTATATGTTTTTTACCATCATTGATATAATATAAATGAAGAACCTGAAGCCTAAGGATAATTAAGTAATTTGTCCAAGAGTACACATCAGTAAGTAGCGAGACCAACAACTTATCAATTGCAAATAGCATTTTTCAATGTGACTATACAGGTGGGCCTTGCTAGATGGAATACACAGGAATCAAATTGACTACATCTGTTGCAAGAGATGATAAAGAAGATTGATAGCATCATCTAAAACAAGGTTATCAGTCACCTATGGACCAGACCATCAATTACTCATATGCAAGTTCAGTTGAATTTGAAGAAAATTAAAAACAAGTCCATGAGGACTAAGATACCACCTTAAGTATAGTCCACCTGAATTTGAAGACATTCTCAAGGCCGTATATGATGCAATGAACACTAATGACCAAAGAGAAAAAGAGTTGTGATATGGCATCAAGATATCATACATGAAGAAATAAAAAGGTCGTGAGGAAGACAAGAAAAATCAGATGTCAGAAGGGACTCGCAAACTTGCTTTTGAACATAGAGTAGCTAAGGCAACTAGAAGAAATGATGAAGAAAAAGAGCTGAACAGAAAATTTCAAAGGACAGCTTGAGAAGACAAAGTAAACCTATTATAATGAAATGTACAAAGATCTATATTTAGAGAACTAAAATAGAAGAACATGATCAGTATTTCTCAAGTCAAAAGAACTGAAGAAAAACTTCAAACCTTAACTGGCAGTATTGTAGGACTTTATGGCAAAATGGTCCTGGTGTGGTACTGGACTACTAACCGAACGGTCAGTGGTTTAGACCCACCAGTATCTCCTTGGGAACCCTAATCAGGGTCGCTGTGAGTGGGAACCAACTCCATGGCACTTGACAACAACAACACAGGCAAAATATTGAACAATGCAGGAAGTATCAAAAGAAGACGGAAGGAAGGCACAGTGGTACTGTACCAAAAAGAACTGATCAATGTTCAACAATTTCAAGAGGTAGCATATGATTAAGAACTGATGGTATTGTAGGAAGAAGTTCAGCTACACTGAAGACATTAGCAAGAAATAAGGCTCCAGGAATTAACAAAATACAAATTGAAATGCTTCAGCAAACTGATGGAGCGCTGGAAGCATTCACTGGTCTGTGCCATAGAAGAGATTCATATCTGTGCCAATTCTAAACAAAGATGACCCAATGGAATGTGAAAATCACTGAACAATACCATTAATAACACATGCAAGTAAAATTTTTCTAAAGCTAATTTAAAAATTATTGCAGTAGAATATCTATAGAGAGCTGCCACAAATTCAAGTCAATTTCAGAAAAGGACAAGGAATAAGGGATGTCATTGCTGATGTCAGATGGATCTTGTCTGAAAATACCAGAAAGGATGTTTAGTTTTGCTTTATTGACTACATCACAGGATGAATAATTAGAAAGAAAACTATAGAAATGGAAACTAGAAGTCACTCCAATGGGATGTTGCTATAATTTGGTTCCATCATCACAGTAGTATTCTGAGGGCCAACAGAGCCAAAGGGTATAGAGTATAGTGGCCTAGTGATACCACTATTTACATTATCAAATCACAGAACTTCAGAGCCGAAAGGATGTTGTTAAACATTTGTTTCAACCCCTGCACATTTCACAGATGACAAAAATGAACACCTGAGGCTGATATAATCTCCAAAGGACTCACAACTTTGAGGTGTAGAATTATTATGATAAAGAACCAGGGTTAATGTTTCTGCTTGGCTATATCCCATAAAGCCACAGGTTCAAAACTAGCAAAAAGGTAGCTTTTATAAATCTCAATTTCCTAACCAGATCCCAGGTGGTTGGGGAAAAAAACAAACCACAGTGAAGATGAAACAAAAATAAATACTTTGTATTTGGTCTTCAATGGGAGGTGGGAATTAAAGACTTAGCTTAAATTTTACATCCAATCTCACCTTCATAATGCTATACCTAAATGATGTAGCAGTATGTGATCAACGCATGTCACTGTATCAGCCACAGAATTTCACAAGAAACATCTGTGCATATACTGAGTTTAAATTTTCTGCTGTACATACATGTGGCACATTGTGTAGAGTACACAGGTAGACAGTCCTGTAACTCATAAAAAAACATTTCTTCTTCTATCCACTTTCTACGATTTTCAGAGAGGTATCTCATCTCAAGCATTTCTCAAAGCTCTGACCTATTTGGAAGTCGGAGAAGGTTGCCTTCTCCATTGAGAAACTTCTAGTTTTACCCTTTCAAGGAGGTAAAGTACCTGTGTGTTGGGGTCCTGGGCGACGATGCGTTGCAATAGAGGCTTGAGAATGCAGGCTTATGGTGGTGTCCCCATCATCATCTAGCATGTCCCTCGTGCTGCTGTACTTGGCATGCATCTGGATTCCAGCAGGGAGGAGGAAGAGATGCTACCTGCCACCTGGGTACTGTAAGAGAGTGGGAGAACCCAGGCACTCCGAGACATTCCCAATGCTTGCCTCTCTTGCAAGTAATAGGGGAAACCTCTGGCTCCAGTTCCTGCCTGCTGAGGCCCAGCCCCTTTCCAGCAAGCTTGTACTCTGATTGCCAAATTGGTCAGGCTGAAGGGAAGTAGCATTTGTTTTCTGTTCGCGCAGTCTCTGCCTGAGCAATTATTGAGGGGATTGTTCTCCTGAGATTGCTTCTCTTCACTTGTTTGTACCCTCTGTGTAACTATAGTGCAAAGAAAGCATGTTCTTGCAATAGCACGGTGGTTCATTTTGAATCTGTAGAGTGGTAATCAACCAGAGAGACACAATATTACTCAGGTTCTTATCCATCATGGAGTTCCTGTATAAGTCACTCAGATCAGATTGAATCTTTTTGCGCATATCTTAGCAAGGGCTGTGAAGAGAAACAGAAATAGTAAGCTATACATACAGAGAGACAGAGGAATTTATTTCTAATAATTTGCTCAGAGGCTAGGAGGATTTGGAAAGTAGGGCTGAAGTCCAAAATGTGTAGGTTGGGCAAAAACTAAACCAAACCTGTTGACATGGATTCAATTCCTACTCAGGCGACCCCATGTGTTTCATAGTAGAACTGCATTCTAGGATTTTCAATGACTGAGCTTCCAGAAGTAAATCTCCAGGCCTTTCTTCCAAGGCTTCTCTGGTTGGATGCAAACTACCAACCTTTCTGTTAGTAGACAAGAGATTAGTCATTTGTGCCCCTCAGGGGCTTTAGGTAGGCAGTGGGGGAGAGTGGAATTATGACAAGATGGGATTCATTCTCTGAAGATTGCCTTCTCTATTGAGAAACTTCTAGTTTTACCCTTAAAACTATCAACTTATTGAATGAGTCTCATCCACATAATAGAGAATAATCCACACTACTTAAAGTCAACTACTTTAAATGCTAATCTCATGTAAATACAGGTATACCTAAGAGATATTACCAGTTCAGTTCCAGAAGATCACTTCAATAAAGACAATATCTCAAAACAACAAGTCACATGAATTTTTCAATTTCCCAGGTCATATACAACTTACATTTGCACTATACTGTAGTGAAACCCTATACAGGATTGTTATGAGTCAGCACCGACTCCACTGCACACAACCACCACCACTAATTGTTGTATATGACAGCATCATGAAAAAGTTTGAAATATTGTGAAAATTACCAAAATGTAACATAATGTCAAGAAGCGAACAAGTGCTATTGGAAAAGTGATGCTGACAGAATTGCTTGATACAGGAGCCAGAAGGGGGCCCTTTCCCCTGGCTGCAGGTCCAAGTGGGTACCAGACAAGGTATGTAATGACATTTTGAGGTGCCACAAATATGAACGGTGCCTGGCTGAGGCAGCTGGACCAGAGGGGGGACGATGTTTCTGCTGACACATTGCTGCTGCCCCTATTCATCTTACTATTGGGTAGAAGCATAGCTCAGAAATTGCTGGCTGCTCAGTTTACTCCTTCCCTCCAAAGTTAGATATTGCCCTAGACACGCATTGCATTTGCTATGCTTCTGGATCTAACCTCATCCTTTCCCTCTCCAACACAATGTACATGGAATATAAGCACAAAACAGTCCTTTTGGGGGGTGGGGCATTCAACTGATTCTACTCCTCCATTTTAGAAACTGGATGATAGACACCAAGATAGGTAAAGCAATTGAACCACATCACATAACTGGTTAGTGAATTAGTTTTAAAAGCACTCTCCTCTTGCCAACACATTTATTTTTCTTCTTATACTAGCTACACTTGATTTAACATTTTATAACATATTTGATACATTATGGTCATGTGGAATTATATGTTACTGTTGTTAACTGCCCTTGATTCAGTTCTGAGGACCCTCAGCTGAGCACGAACCAATAACCTTGCAGTTTAAACTGACTTTGCAGTCCAGCACATTAACCCACAGAACCACACCAGGACTCCAGACTAGGAATCAGATATCTTAGAGATTTTACTAATTACCTAAGGCATTCTGGAAGTGTAGTAGTTACAAGTCGGAGTCTGTCTGCTAATAATGATAGCAGGGGTCTTCCAACCTAAACAAAATGAAGTCAGTTTAGTCATCAGGCCTCAAATGAGGACCCTGCAAATGAGGAAGTTCAAAAAATAGCTAAGATGATCTTATGGTCCTAGGAGGAGAATAGAACAAGGAGAATAGGATGTGCTTTAAGCCATCCAGATAGTTATATAAGGAGTTAAGCAGCTGAGGCCCAAAGGTAAAATATTTGAAGAAGTTTATTGATTTATTATTTCCTTTTCCAAAAGAAATTGATGTTAAAATAGATTAAGTGTGCAACCAAATGTAATTTACCCTATATAAGCTGACTGTTCTTCATAGTGGACACGATGGTCGGTCTGGAGAAATAAGTCTCTGTCCTCCAGACTGCTAGATTTCTGTTAATAAAGCTTGGTTCGAAACTACCAGCGGTTCCGCAGGAGAACGATGAGACTTTCTGCTCCCATAATGATTTACAACCTCAGAAACCCTTTACAGGATTGTTATGAGTCAGCACCAACTCCACTGCACACAACCACCACCACTAACTGTTGTTCTTGTTAATGTCGAGTTGTTTTCTGATTCATAGCGATCCTGTATAAGACTTCAAAGGAATGGCTGGTGAGCTTGAACTGCCGACCTTGCAGTTCAAACTAACTTTGCAGACCAGTACATTAATCCACAGTGCCACACCAGGACTCCTGAAGAGGAAATTGGTAGTGGAGTCGGTTCGGACTAATAGTGACCCTGCTTAGGGTTTCCGAGGCTGTAAATTTTTACAGGAGCAGAAAGCCTCATTTTTCTCCTGCGGGACAGCTGGTAGTTTCAAACTGCTGACCTTGAGGTTAGCAGTTTAGATGATTATTTTAGAGAATGTCTAAAATCCTTGATGTATCATTATAATACAATTATATTCCTCTACTAACACTTCTCTAAGTAGGTGGAGACAACTGGATTAAATCAAGCTTGTCAAATGCTTAAAAAGCCTAAAAAAGATGCTGTAGTTGGGGCAGCTAGGCCCTCCCTATAAAGACCTGTCAGGAAGTACACACTGTGAGTCAAGATATGTTTCAAACTCTGTGCTGTTTTTCAGGATACTCAAAATTAAATAAATAAAGAACTGAAAAGAACTTTCTCTTTCATAAAAACATAAAAACTTGCCATTTACTCGATTCTGACTCATAGCCACTCTATAGGTTTTCTAGACTGTAAATCTTTACAAAAGTGGACATCTTTGTCCCACAGGATGGCTGGTGGGGTCAAATCAACAATCTTTCTGTTAGTGGCCAAGCACTTAACCACAGCAACATCAGGGATCTTTTCTCCTCTTGTATGTTGCTTGCCCATTTGGATTGGATTGAGATGTCAGAGAAGTTTATAGAATAGGCAAGAGGAAAGAGGGAAATGAATGAAGCACATAAGAGAATGAAGTAAAAAGATAGAATATTAGAAATAGCAATAGATGTTGTTATTGTTGAGTGCCATAGATTTGGTTGTGACTCAAATCAACCCTGTATAGGGTTTCCAAGGAGCAGCTGGTAAATTGCAATGGCCAATCTTGAGGTTCAGTGCATTATCCCACAGCTCTACACCAGGACTCCAGAAAAAATGCAATAAGAGAAGTAACTAATTATGATTCAAATGGAAGCAATTAGAACTATCTCCCAACTTCAGTCATTCATTAAGGTTTGAGAGAAAAAAATCTGCATTAATATTTACATTATTCTTCCTTAAAGGGCCATTCTTCAATGATAATGGAAAAACTTTCCTCAAACACCTACTTTGTAACAGGTATTGTTTTCAGATTGCAGAGTTATTGTTGTTAAGTGCTGGTGAGGAGGTCCAACTTACAGAGACCCTGTGGTTCAAACCAATCTTGTAGTTCAGAGCATCAGCACCATACCCAATATGCTCTGACCTTTTAGAAGCTACATCCTATAGAGGAAGGTAGATAATATATAAAAAAGATAAGTAAGTAAATAATAGATCCAACTGTTGTTGTTAAGGTTTGCAGTACAGACCTTTTGGTTAGCAGTTTGATGCTTATCCTACAGGCCAGAAAAAAATGCTATGGGAAATACAGAACAGAATAAGGGAGATTAAGAATGTTGGGAAGGAGGTTTGGTCATTTTAAATAGGGTAGTCAGAGTGTGCCTGATTGAGGAAAGTGATGTCTGCACAAAGACTTGCAATCGTTAAAGTGTAGGCAGTAAGAATCTTCCAGGTGGAGGAAACACATAGCACAAAGACCTTGAGGAAAGGAATCGTACCTAGTATGTTTAAGAAAACTAGAGAAATTATTGCCTCAAGACAATTTTAAATGAAGAATTGAGTTGATTTGATTTAAATTTTTATATCACTCTGGTTGCTCTGTTTGAAAATGAACTCTAGATGCTAAAGGTCAAGTCCAGAAGACTTCTTAGAATATCAATGCAATAATCCAGGCAACAGAAGATGATGGCCCTGGAATAAAAGTATCCTCTTATATTGTGAGAAACTTGTTAATATCTACAAATGCTCAAGAAATCCAATCTGTACTCATTTTATGAAGTGCGTGGTTTTCTTTATTCGGTTTTACAAAATTGGGCAGCCAACCCAGTAGACATGGGTAGACGCAATGCACAGCCTGCCTACCTAAGTTTTATTCCCCTCCTTAAGTTCCCCTTTTACTGGGTACTATTCTTATCAACGGAGAAAAAATTGAAGTTGTCAAGGACTTCATTCTTCTTGGATCAACTATCAACACTCACAGAAGCAGCTGTCAAGAGATCAAA